TGATATTATTATACTATCTAAACAAGGGTAGTCCATATGAAAGAATAAATACTAGAAATCAATAATGTAAACCAAAAATGAGTGATTCAAGCCAATAGTTTGAAATCCAATGTCAAAGGTGCAATAGCACAAAGTAAAAAAATATATATATGTATACAACTCTATATCCCATGTCATAAGCTATGATGATATTAATGAGTAAAATTTCCTTTTCGTCCCTTTCGTGAATATTTTTATTGTGTCCAAATTCATTTCTTTTGGTTAATAAACCTCTTAAGCATGTAGTTTTAGTACACAGGAGTGCTTATAACTCTAAGTTAAATACTTTTCTCCAACATAGTGGTATCTATGAGAGGATTTATGTATGAGCTATGCCGGGCTGAAGCTGAGAACAACTTAATCTTTTTCAATTTATTGGAAGAGAGAATCGTCTATATATAATGCTATTCTTCTCTGTCCAACGTAGAGCTGAGGTTTGTGCATTCCATTGTATGGTAGATGGCCTGCAATTATGCAATTCACGTTTGTAGCCTCACGATTGTAATACACTCCTTTTAAGATTTTGTTTCAATCCATCCAAAAATACGTATACATGTGTACCAAAGTGGTTATGTTTATGAGTTATGACCAGTGATTATATTTTTCCAAGGCACTTTTTCACTAAAAAAATATTTCATTTAATTAATAGCTCAAATCCAGCACTTTAGATTCAAATTGCTACAAGGGCTTATAATTCAAATGAGTCCTCAGGTTTAATTCAAAATGCCAAACATAGCCTACATGCAAGGTTTGACGGAGGAGTTAAATTTTACAGATTACATATTAAGAACTACACTAAACTACTAAAATGTCTTATGGACCTGCAAAAAGCTCAGTCTGAATAGGACAAAATTTGGTATTTAAAATGAGAAATTAAAAGAAAATTAGATTGACTGCAGCGTAATGAATGAGAAACCTCATATGGAACAAAGGAGTCATACTCCTCTTCATCTCTTTCTCTCCATTTACTCTCTCCATTTCTTTTTCACTCTATCTCTCTCCTTCAAAAAAAAATAATTAAATCTCATCTTTTATTTTTCCCTACCCCACCATTTCCCCATCCCTCTTTATATCTCTCCTACAGGAAGAATCCAGTCACTAGAGAGGAGCCAAATTCGGAACAAAGTACTTTAAAATTTTATATTTTATATTGTGAATAATTTGAGTTAATTCTCTTTGTTTAAATGTTTTCAGCGTATTGTAGGGGTGAGACTTTTTAACCAAGAATCGGAAAACCGTTGGAACCGAACCGTTAAAAAAAAGTTCAGTTCGGTTCCTACAGATGAGTTATAAGTTGTTAACAGTTTGGTTCTTAGTCTTTGTTAAATGTTCGGTTCTTGGTTCCTACAAAAAATATGTCTACGAAACCGTTAAGGAACCGTTATTAAAAAATAAAAAATTGAATGTATAACTAATAATAATAATAACATATAATATTAACATTAACAATAACAATAGTTATAGTATCAATAATAGTAATAATAATGTAATCGATGACATTTAATCACACAACAATTTAAATTTAATGGATGGAAGCGGATTTTTTTTTTGAGAAAATGGAAGTGGATGAGGATAAATACATTAAGCTCGTTTTTTACAATTTATTTTGTTCCATCACGAAAATTTCATAATTATAAAAGTAAACCAAGTTAATTGTGAGATTTTGTGTAAATAATGCTCCTGGGATTTGGAATGTAATGATGTTTATATTTGCACTTGCGTGTTCAATGTGTTTTTTTTCGTTTTGAGAAACTTGAACTAGACGTCTTATTCTACTATGATGACCCAACTTTTATTGATACCAAACAAAAACGATTTTCATAATTTATTTATGTAGGTTTGAATAATTGAAATAGCTTAATTATTCAAGAGCCAAGGAGGTGTATAAATACACATGTACAGGAGGTTACCGATCCTAAAAAATAGGATCAGAACTAAATGCTAGGAACAGAATAACAACTAAGCTATCTTATCCCTAAAAGACTAAGCGTACTCTAACTAATTACAATTCTAATTATATACAACATTGTTTACGTAAATCCACACTCCCCCTCAAGTTGGAGCGTATATATCATACATTCCCAACTTGCTAACAAGAACATCAAAAGTCGGTTTAAATAGACCCTTAGTTAGAATATCTGCCGTTTGATCTTGTGAAGGTACAAATGGGATGCAGAATGTTCCATTCTCGAGTTTCTCCTTTATAAAATTCCGATCTACTTCTATGTGTTTAGTTCTGTCATGCTGCACAGGATTTTGAGCTATACTTATTGCCGCTTTGTTATCACAGAACAACTTCATGGGCGGTCTGTTTTCAAGTTTTAAGTCCTTCAGTATTCTGCTGATCCACACAATTTCACAAGCTCCATTTGCCATGGCTCTGTATTCTGCTTCGGCGCTACTTCTAGCCACAACTGTCTGTTTCTTGCTCTGCCAGGTGACCAAGTTTCCCCATACAAATGTGCAGTAACCTGATGTGGATCTTCTGTCTGTCACCGATCCTGCATAATCAGCATCTGTAAAGGCTACAACAGATCTGTTTTCTCCTTTTTTGAACAAAAGACCTTTTCCTGGACAACCCTTCAAATACCGAAGTATTCTATGAGCAGCTTCAAGATGTTCTTCAAGTGGTTTGTGCATAAATTGACTTACCACACTCACAGCAAATACTATATCAGGGCGGGTATGAGATAGATAAATTAATCTACCAACTAGCCTCTGATATTGCTGAATGTTGACTTCAATCCCTCCATTTCCTCCTCCTAATTTTTTATTTGCATCAACTGGAGTATCCACTGGCTTACAACCACTCATTCCTGTGTCCACAAGTAGGTCTTGAACATATTTTTGTTGTGACACAACTATGCCTTTGTTAGAACGTGCAACTTCCATAGCAAGAAAATATTTCATCTCGCCTAGATCTTTGATGTCAAATTCCTGTGCCAACTTTTTCTTTAGCCTTGTTACTTCTACTTGGTCATCTCCAGTAAGAAGTATGTCATCTACATAGACAATGAGAACCGCCATCTTTCCATCTCTTGAATGTTTAGTGAACAAAGTGTGATCAGCTTGTGCCTGCACATATCCCTGCTGTTTCACCACTTTAGTAAATCTCTCAAACCACGCCCTTGGAGATTGTTTTAATCCGTACAAGGCCTTCTGCAATCTACACACTTTAGAGCCGAACTTTGTTTCAAATCCGGGTGGCGGTAGCATGTAGACTTCTTCCTCCAATTTGCCATTCAAGAAGGCATTTTTAACATCAAGTTGATTTAATGGCCAGTCCAAATTTGCTGCAATAGATAACAGAATTCGAATGGTATTTAGTTTAGCAACGGGAGCAAAGGTTTCCGTATAATCAATACCGTAAGTTTGTGTGAATCCCTTGGCTACTAAACGGGCTTTGTAGCGTTCGAGGGTTCCATTGGCATTGAATTTTGGTGTAAAAATCCATCTGCACCCTACTGTTGGCTTTCCTTTTGGTAATTCTGTAACCTTCCATGTTTGGTTCCTTTCCAGTGCACTCATCTCCTCAAGAACGGCCTTTTTCCACTCTGGGACATTTAGAGCTTCCTGTATATTTCTAGGAATCTGAATTTGAGTCACGTTAGTGGTAAAGGCAGAAAAAGAGCTGGACAGATTTGAGAGGGAGATAAAGTTAGACATTGGGTATTTGACACATGAGCGTTTTTCTTTTCTTAAGGCTATGGGAAGATCAAGGTCTGAAGACGTACGATATGGTTCTTCTGATCTTGGGTCTGATTCATGGTCATGAAGAGTAGTATCAAGTTCTATTCTTTGATCAGAATTCCTTCTTTTATATGTCTGCCCAAAGAACTTCGATGACTGAAACCGCAACCTATTTTCAGAATGATTTTCATGCAAATTTTCAAGAATTGGACTCTCATGCAAGTTTTCAGTGACCTTGGTAGGAGTTTGACTTTGCACAGAGCATTGTGAATTAATTTCTTTAAGATTTTCAGTGTTTGTTGGTGTATTCATTAGAGGTTCCAACTGTGTTCCTTGATCAAAAAATAAAAAATCTAAGTTCTGAGATCTATCAATATTGGTTGCAATGCTTTCTAAATTTTTGTAAGGTTGTGACATATTTTGATTCATTTCAATATTTTGACTCTCCCCCTGAGAAGGATTTCCAAAAAAAGATTGATGTTCAAAAAACTGTGTATCCATTGTTGTGAATAGTTTTCTAGCCGTGGGATCATAACATTTATATCCTTTTTGGTTAGGGGCTATTCCAACATAGACACACTTTCTAGCCTTTGGTTCAAATTTCCCTGCATTTCTATTGGGATTTTGAATAAAAACTGTGCAACCAAATATCTTCATTGACATAGAACTTATTAATCTAGAATTAGGAAATTCCTTTTCTAGCATTTGAATTGGAGTTTTGAATTGAAGAACCTTAGATGGCATCCTATTTATTAAATAAACAGAATGTAAAACTGCATCACCCCATAGGTATTTTGGAATATTGGTAGAGAACATAAGGGCACGTGCCACCTCTAAAATGTGTCTATTTTTTCTCTCAGCTCTACCATTTTGTTGTGGAGTGTCCACACATGAACTTTGTTGAACTATCCCTTTTTCTTTAAAAAAATCTCCTAAAACTTGTGCAAAATACTCCCTACCATTATCACTTCGAACAATTTGAATTTTAGTGTCAAATTGTGTGAGTATCATGTTGTAGAAGTTTTTAAAAATTTGCTCTACTTCAGACTTTTCTTTTAACAAATATACCCAGCAAACTCTACTGTGATCATCAATTAGAGTTATGAACCACCTTTTGCCATAACACGTTGTGATACGAGAGGGACCCCAAATATCGGTATGAATCAATGCAAATGGTTTAGATGGTTGATATGGATGGGAAGCATATGTATTTTTGTGATGTTTAGCAAGAGCACAAATCTCACATTGGAAAACTGAAGGATCTTTATTCTGAAACAAACTTGGAAACAATTTTTTCAAGTAATAAAAACTAGGATGTCCTAATCTAAAATGCCACAAATAAATTTCATCATTACTCAAAACAGAAGCGGTTTGCAGACATGAACTTCCTAAAGCTTTCTTATTTAAGTTGGTTTCCTCATCTAGGATGTAGAGACCATCACTTGCTCTAGCACTGCCAATCATCTTTCCCGAGACCGGTTCCTGAAACTCACAAGAAGAGGAAGTGAACTTAACAGAACAATGAAGGTCATTTGTGAGTTGACTGATAGATATGAGGTTGCATGAAAACTTAGGAACATGAAGTACGTTAGACAAGGTTAAGAAAGGAGAGACTTTAATGTTGCCAATACCAGCAACTGTTGAGTAAGAACCATCGGCAATTTTGACTTTCCTATTACCAGCACTTGGTTTATAGGAATAAAATAGACTAGAACAATTTGTCATATGATCAGAAGCCCCGGAATCTATTATCCACAGGGTTTTAGTTTGAAAACAACTAAACGAAGACACATAAGAGTTACCATTTGAAACAGACTGTGACAAAGTAAGATTACCAGAAGAGGCTCTATCAGATTCAGATATCATTTTCAGGATTTGCACTATTTGTCCTTGAGTGAATTGGGCCGTTTCTGATTTGACTTGTTGCACTGCAGGAGGTTCAACCATGGTGTGAAGGGCTCGATCAGATTTAGGTTTCCACCCCGGTGGTTTGCCATGAATCTTCCAGCATGTATCACGGGTGTGCCACAACTTCTTGCAGAAATCACACCAGGGTTTCTTCTTCTGGTCCCCGATTTGTTCATTGTTTCGAACTACCAGTGCAGAGGCATCATTTGCAGCATTGTCACTGTCCATCAGATGTTTGTCCGTGCTCATGATCTTGCGCCTATTCTCTTCAAGACGAACTTCTGAGAAGACCTCACGGATTGATGGAAGAGGTCGACGGCCAAGAAGTCTACCTTTGACATCGTCAAGGTTTTGATTCACACCGGCAAGAAACATAAAGACACGATCATTTTCTTCACGTTTCTTCTGGCGAGCTTGGTCATTCTTGTTCTCCCATACATCGTTGTTGCAGTGATCAAGTTCCTGCCAAAAAGAGACCATTTCGTTATAGTAAGTGGTCACATCACGCTGACCCTGCTTGGATTTCCATAGTTGAGTTTTCAGCTCAAAGGTTTGTGCGAAATTTTCCAGATCTGAATAAGTCTCACGAACAGCATCCCAGACTTCCTTCGCTGTCTTGAGGAACATATGGGATCTAGCTATTGAAGCATCCATGGAATTAAGCAGCCATGCAGTGACCAGGGAGTTCTCCGATCGCCATACCTTGTAATTTGGTTCATCAGGTTCTGGGACTTTGGTCTCACCTGTCAAGAACCCTAGTTTGCCTCTACCATCAATGGCCAATTTTACGGATTGAGACCATTCCAAGTAGTTGCTTCCATTCAGTCTGTGAACAGTAACCTGCATAGATGAATGAATTGCTTCTACTGAAGAGGTGGAAGAGGACACAAGAGGTTGGGTGGTGTTTGAGCTGGTTTGGGATACGGGAGTAGTCATTGAATTTTTTTTTTTTTTTTGATCGGCTATTTCTAAAGAAGCTCTGATACCATGTAGGTTTGAATAATTGAAATAGCTTAATTATTCAAGAGCCAAGGAGGTGTATAAATACACATGTACAGGAGGTTACCGATCCTAAAAAATAGGATCAGAACTAAATGCTAGGAACAGAATAACAACTAAGCTATCTTATCCCTAAAAGACTAAGCGTACTCTAACTAATTACAATTCTAATTATATACAACATTGTTTACGTAAATCCACAATTTATAAACAAAATTCAAAAATTATTTCAATCTATTATGTGTTGAACAAATTAAGTTTGGACTTGATGTTTGAACTCATAAGAGCTTCGAAAAGTATGTATTGCTTGCGTTTTGAATTTTCGGCATTTTTGCGTAGTAGAAAGTAAATTCTGTTAATGTTTTTATGGAAAAAATTTATGCTTAGGAACCGATAAAAGTAAGAACCGAATCGAATCGATTTAATTAGTTGAGTTTTTTTGCAACAGTTCCACTAATGTCATATAAGAACCGAACCGGTCTCAGGTCTAAGTATTGGGTCAGAGGGCAACCAAGCATCATAAGTTTTCATACTTTCCTTTGAGATTGCGAGTAATGCATGAGTAAGGATGTTTTTAATTAAATTGAAATATTATGGTCTGATTAATTCTGTTTAAATCTGATCTGATCTGATTAGTTTTGTTTTAGTCTGATCTGGTCTGATTAGTTTTGTTTTAGTAAATGTCTACTCTATGTCTTTTATAACCGTCATAATCGAATCTGGTCTGGTCTGGTCTTTTTAAATCAAGTCTAGTCTGTTTAAATTAGGTCTGATTTATTCTGGTTTAGGATTGAAAATAGTTCATGTAAAAACATGCAACTTATATGACAAACCACTAATGGTGCTAGGTTATCTACAAGACTAGGATATGAAATTCTACGAGTTATTGGGCATTTATTCTTTGTAGTAATTAAAATGAAATAAGTAAAACAATATATATACAAGTAGAGAGAGAACGGGCTGAAATCTCGAACAAGGAAATAAACAGATACTCCCTCCGTCCCTCTATAATTGTCCCATTTTTTGATTTTTGAATGTCCCCCAATTATTGTCCTATGCCATATTTGGTAACATTTGTGTGGCTCCAATTTATTCTTACTTTATTCTCACTTTATCAACCACATAATTCTACTTTTCTTAAAAACTACACCACTCTCTTCCGTCCCAATATTAGGAGGACGGAGGGAGTATTTTGACAAAAGATAATTTACACTATATGAGTCGTCGTCGTCATCATTACCCCAGTGCCGCAAATGATCCCACCTTCGGTGGGGTAAGGGGGAGTCGGATGTACGCAATCTTACCCATGTAATAAAATATTTATTACACTATATAGGTATCTCCATTTATTGTATTTTATTGTATTTTCATGTACAGGGAAATCGAACTCGAGACCTTGGTATAAGTTACATTGATACATACCTATAAGTACGCATGTAGATATGCTTAAACTCATTCATGTTTTGCCCATAGCTAGAGCATTTGAGAGCACTTCAGGCTTGTCTCAATTCTCAAATGATAAATATAATGTTATAAAGGAATGATCATGTCCAGCCGGATGGACAAGACCCTCCATCCAGCCACCGCCGTTTCGGGCGATTCCCGATGAAATTTTTTTATGAAACTTTTTTAGCATGTTCCTCATGCAGTCTCGTATATGCCCATCAAATTTCAGCTAAAAATTTAACCGGGAAGGCAGTCAAATAATTTTTTGAAGATAACTACGCCAAAATATACATATAAAACACGGTTATCTTCAAAACTTATTTGACTGCCTTCCCGATTGAGTTTTTAGCTGAAACTTGGACATGTTCAAAAAATTCCTCCATAAACCGCTACAAAAGGCGGCAGCCAGAGCATCCTGTCCGGAAGGATGGACGTGATCTTTTTCCTAATGTTATAAGCATATGCTTGAACTAATACATTCACATTACATTTTGACAGTTAAAACATGCAGGATAATAATGCACATATATTTGAAGCATGTAGTCATCATCTATGAGAGGCGCACGTTTGTTGTATCTTATCTCATATGTGGTTGCCTGTATCTTCTTCTAGGTTGCCATACTGGTATGGGGCGCTTTCGTCATAGCCTGGAAATTCCCAATTTGCAATCACACCATCCCATGAGGAACTAACCAACATGGGTATGAAAGGGTGCCAGTTGCAATCTCTTACAGGTGCGTCGTGATAAACTAGCTTTGCAACTCGATCACCACTCACCTACAAGACAAGCAAAATTGCTTAAATCTATGAGTAAACTCGTCCACAGTTATATACCTATTCCACGCCAGGAAAACCACATATTTTCCTTGAATTGAGTTTTTTTTGTGATATTTCCACGGAAATTCGTTTTCAAAAATATTTCATCATACACTGAATATACAATATAGCTTTGAAGAGAGCAAAGTGGAGGACGAATATTCATGTGAAGGATTGATCTTTTTTATCTTATCTCTCTTTATTCTTTTATCTTGTTACCTTTATCTTTCGTATATTCTTTACCCTTTTATACTTTTTATTGTATATATATTGTTTCTACCCTTTGTATCTTATATTTAGCTTTGTTTTTTCTTATCATCTTATATTTAGCTTATATTTAGCTTTGTATCTTATATTTACTTATTTAGCTTATATTTATCTTATATTTAGCTTTGTATCTTATGTTTATCTTATATTTAGCTTTGTTTTTTTCTTATCATCTTATCTTACCGACTTACCTTATCTTTCTTTTTTGGCACCGATATCATATATCATTTCATGTTAGCCGACCCCAAAATCCTTTGGGACTATAACTTGGATGTTGTTGTTGTTATTGTTGTAGGATATATACAGTAATAGAGCATAAATTGATAATTATAAGACTTCTTTCATCACTTTGATTTATTATATGGTCGCCCACAAAGAATTTAGCCAAAGCAGCACCTAGTATTAAGACTGAAATTTCATTCTAAAAGGCTAACATGATAATGGAGCAATAATCCAAGACTTTGCAGGTGAGCTCACATCTTTATATTTTACCGATGTGAAATGGATTCGCATGTCACATAAAATTGTGGCTTGCTAGAGAAGACTAATCTTAAAACTTGTGTGCTGTTTTTTGCCAAATCAACTAATCGTTTCAGTTTGATTGGCTTTAACTTGGGAGTCCATTAAAAGGTTAACCTAAAAGTGCTTCTATTTGGATGGTATGGATGACTCAACACATCATAATTCATACCTTATACCTCCTCAAGTGGTTGCTATATGGTTCTTATGAGAACCCCTCCTAGATGTAGAACATCTTTGAAAATGAGAATTTTAACGTTCACCTTTCATATTTTTTTTACGTAAAAAAAAAATATGAAAGGTGAACGTTAAAATTCTCATTTTCAAAGATGTTCTACATTTTCATATAACGTTCACCTTTCATATTATTAATAAATTTTTTATATATATTTATGAATAATTGCAAAAAAAAACTAAATTAAATTAAGAATACTTGCAAAAATGACATCTTAGAGCATAGTTTTACAGGGCGGGTTTTGAGGCGCGCCTCAAGGTGAGGCATACATAAAAGGTTTTGAGGCTTTGGTTTTTTGCAGGACAAGAAGTTTACGCCTCAAAAGTAAGGCATATGCCCTGAGGTGCGCCTTGAGGCTTTTATCTAAGGCATTTTTCCTTTGCTTCTATTTTTTGAATGTGCTTGTAGCTTAAAAAGGCCCACTATTTTTATTTAAAAAAGGCCCAGTGTTTTTCATTTTATTAATAAAAGGCCCATACATTAACATGTGTCTGTGACTCTGCGCTAAACCCTAACAAGTCTTGTTTCATTTAAACCCTAGCATATGTTTCCTATTAAGCATTCTACATGTCATTAAAATTTATTCATACTTTTGCAAATAGAAGCGGATGGGTAACCAAGGAAAAAATAAGAAATATAAACAAGTAATGGAGGCACCTCATGATGAAGAAGAGAGAGAATTTAAGGGTTTTGATAGTGACGGTAGAAGGGATGACGGTGAGAAGGCTATAAGATATAATGATTCTTCCGAAGACCGTCCAGTCATGATGATTAAGCTTCGAGAGTTTCAAATTGTCAATTTGTCATATTCGTGATGTGTCTGTTTTTGTGTTTTAATTCACATTCAATTATCATGTTTGATGATATGATTATATATGTGTTTGTGTTTGACACTTTTTGGACTTTATTATGCATATCTATAGTTGTTTGTTACTAGTTTAACTATTACAGTATAAGTTTTACTTGTTGATAAATTTTGAAACTTACGCCTCAATACCCCTCAAGGCTTACGTGTCGCCTCTCTCGCACAAACCACCTCGATACCCGAACTAGCCTTTTTAAACCTTGCTTATGAGTACTGAACCATTAATTGAAAAAATTAAAGGTGTAGATCAAAAGTTCGGGTAGTAAGTTCTCATTGTAATGTGTTCCCATAGAAACATCCCCAGCCCCATATATAAATCATACAAGTACACACACATTAGGAACATTTTAGGGGTAATCTATAGTTCGAGTGAAAACAAATTAGGAGATCAAACATTTTGGGGCATACCAGGTCATAAATATAAACAGAAGAATCAGTTGATCCAGTGTAGATATACTTTTGCCCAGTGCTGCAACATTAGTAGCCATTGAAAATTTGAAACATGTTATTATCATTCACATTTCAATAATCTATGAGATAAATAATAAACCCTAAGCAATGAATTCCATGCATGAGGTTACTTAATTTGGAAGCTGGGGACACTGGATGAGGTTGAAAATAGCTTAGCAAAGTGCATTCATGGCATGGTTTAAAAACTAAACCTAAATATATCAGTATATCACCATTGATTTAACCTTAAGCAATACACCAAGTTGTCTTGATAGATTTGGCCCAAATTCAAAAGGGGGACTTAACCTAGCACTTCCCAAGAAGTTGTGCAGG